GCTCAGTTGGGTCAGTGGGGGACTGAGACGAGGAAGCCACAGAAGTAAGTGCCTACCCGTCTTCTTCCTGTAATCTGCCTGTGTGCCATGGCCAGCCAGTACCCCGTTAATGCATTTGTGCACACCTGCACACCACCTAGCGTGTTTCCTCAGGAGTTTGTACGCTCATTATGGCTTCCACGGGTAAGGGGAACCACGGCGCCTTTGTTTCTCCGGGCCTGATGTACTTCACTTAACGTGACGTTTACCCCGCGCTACCAATAGTCGACTGCCCGTGTCAGGGCTGCTGAGACGAGACATGAGCAGTTCCTGTGAGTCTCAGAATGTTTTGCTTCTCTCTCATCTCAACATGGCGCCGTCCTGCAGAGCTGGCGCTTCAGGCCCTGTTGAGCCCTGATGTCTGCAGCAACAGCTGCCTCACATCCTGCTTCCCGCTCTCCTCCCCTGTTCCCTGAGCACTCCAGCGCCGGCCTCCATTTCCTCCTTGGAAGAACACTGTGAATCGCTCAGTTGGAGACGATGTGGGGGCTTCCTGCTCCTTGCTTTCTCCCCGTGACTGGGCCTGGGCTGATCTGGCACCAAGGCCTCGGATCCCCGATGCCGCCTGCCCGCTCTAGGCAGGGGTGGGGGGGGGCGAGCCCGGAAGACACAAGCAGCAAGGCAAGGCGAGCTCTGAGATCTGTGCGCTTCCTCTAGAGTCTGCCTCTGGCACCCTCAGCCAGTGGGTAGCTGGGCAGTCTTCCTCCTGCAGCACCCACAGCTGGAGGCTTGGTCTCAGGATTCTTCAGCCCTGCTGAGGGGCGGGGTCGAGCCTGGAGAGAGGGCGCCCACTCTCCGTCTGAACCTCAGCCAGTGTTCATCGTTGGTGGCACGGCGACTTCCCATGAGTTTCTGGTGCCTCCACAGCCCCGGCAAAGCTGGTCAAAGCGGGCCAGACACCACCGCCTTGTGGCAGCCTCACGCGTGCGGGTCTCCACGTGCGGGGGCCGTGCTTGTACCTCTGCGTCCCCTGACACGCTCCCCGCGCCCCTTAGGAATCCTGGACACGGGCAGGCCTTGGTGACACAGCCACCCCGCTTCTCCCCGGCCCCTTGTGGGCTGATGGACGGGCAGAGGGGCGGCAGGCACAAAGGGCATCAAGAATCCCTACTCAGCTGGGGACTTCCGGTGGCAGAGGCCTCCCAAAGCACACCCCTAAGGTCCTAATCATCATTACGAGTTCTTCCTTCCTCTGCCTCACAGTACAAACCAGGGCAGGAAAAATGAGAGACAGAGGCAGAGAGAGAGAGGGAGGGAGAGAGGCCTGATTTATTGGACCAGACCTTTTCTGTGGTGCTCAGGGACTGCCTTGGGAGCAGAGGCTCCTCCAGAGCCTCGTTCTGACGCCCGAAGCCGGGTGGCGTCTACCTCCCAGGCTCTGGGACCAGCAATCTGCTTTGAGATTAACCATAAGATGGCTGTGTGGGGCGTACAGCACTAGCGATGCTACAGGGCACCCCCCCCCACGGCAGGCCACCCCCGAGGGCGCGGCCTGACGCCGCTTCGTGGCCTCCGCTCCCCAGGCATCCCCACGGCAGGCCACCCCCGAGGGCGCGGCCTGACGCCGCTTCGTGGCCTCCGCTCCCCAGGCATCCCCACGGAGCTCGCTAACCAGGGAGGGGTGGTCTTCGTCTGAGCGCGTCCACGCACAGGGCCCCGTCCACCAAGTGAGGAACTAGAAGGGCACGGGAGGATGCATGTCACTGCTGACGTCCAGGACAGTGATGTGTGTGGAAGACAACGCATCAGCTCACCCAGGGCACCGGGCGGGCGCACCAATAACTGAGTTCACAAACAGGAAAGGCTTCTCCCTCCTCCGTGGGGGACCCTCGATGCAGACGGCCACCCTGGCATTCCTGCCTTTTCTCCTGGACTTCACGCAGACGCAGGGTGCTGGCGGCATGCATGGGCAGCCACATGGCTTCACGTCCATGGCTGGATGTGGGGTCCACCCCCCAGTAGCACCCCGGCTCATCACGGGCACGTGCTGGCACCCAGGGTCCTTCAAGCTTCTGATCGCTATCTGCTGTGGATTTGGACATCACCAAAAGTAAAAGGTTTTCCTCGAGAGCAGAGCATGCATTCTCCCCTCCCCCCCCCCGCCCCCCTCTCTCTACATTTAAGGACCCGTGCGTTTTTAATGTCCATCTGTACGTGAGCGAACAGGTGAATCTCATATTTTAAATTCTGCTTCTGGGTTAGAGGCAGCGAGAGACAGGACGGGGGGGGTTGGGGGGGAAGTGTCTTTGAGAAAAGGGGTTGAAAGGGCACATTGCCTGTGGAGAATGAGGATCCACGGGGCAGGGCCCAGACCCGTGGCCCGCAGGCCATGGTACAGGTGATGGCCGCAGGAATGGCCACGTTTGGGGCATCTTGGCACTGAGAGGGTTGAAGCTGTGAATGTCGGATTGTGCGTGCTCCTTCCCTCTGCTTACAGTGACTTCTTCCCACCTTCTTAGCAAGCCCCCAGGACTGAGGTGGGCCTGGCCGGTGCACTCCGGCCCTTGCCAGACCACTGAGGCCAAGGCTTCTGTAATGTGCCACATGCTCTGGATCACAGTTGAGTTATTGAACACTTTGGTGAGCTGGTCGATTCGAGGAATGGGATTTCCCAACACGCAACAACTTAATTTCCTGGTCTAACTGAGACTTACTTCAAGGCGTTCGGTCCGTTAGTTTTTTCTGCATTGGAAATAATTACTAAATGTCACAACAATTCCAGCTGGTCTGGTGGATGAGCCACCATGATAAAAGATCTTGTGACACCACAGAGTGATTGTTCTGAACAGTAGATCTCATTAGAGATAAAGACAGGGGAGGGGACTGAATGAGGCTCACCGGCTTTAGAATATTCTGGGAATCCACTTGAGGCTATGCATTTCTGGCACGTATTTTTCTGACATTTGTTTCTTCTGAAATGTAAACCACAACCCTGTGGTGGGCGGCTCTGTGTGACAGGGCCAATCAGCAGGAGCACCAGCCAGCACGCCTTTTTGCAATTTTGGTTGTCTCTGAGTATAATTTTAAGGTTTGGGTGAAATCCTGGGAGTGACGCTTCAGATACCAAGCCAGGTGTGCCTGAAGCCCGGACCTGCACTGCTTTTCCTAATCAGATGAAGTCCCTAATTTGACTTTAAAGAAGAAGCACACAGCCTGTGCCTGCCCGAACCTTGCCATGGGTGAGGCTTTCTCCCCCCCACTCCTGCCTTCAGCCCGCCTTCTCGCTGAGAGGGGAGTCCTGGAGTTCTGTTGTGTGCTTTCCTTGGACTGTGGTATGGAATCAAAGTCAGTGAACATCATCAGCTGGGACCTGCGACCTCCACACCTGGGGACACCCACACACACCTGGGGGCAGCCCACGCCTGGAGCACCCCACACCCGGGGACACCCACGCCTGGAGTACCCCACACCCGGGGACACCCACACCCGGGGACACCCACACCCGGGGGACACCCACACCCGGGGACACCCACACCCGGGGACAGCCCACACCCGGGGACAGCCCACACCCAGGGGCAGCCCACACCCGGGGGCAGCCCACACCCAGGGGCAGCCACACCCAGGGACAGCCACACCTAGGGACAGCCACACCCAGGGGCAGCCACACCCAGGGGCAGCCCACACCTGGAGCACCCCACACCCAGGGGCAGCCCACACCCTGGGACAGCCACACCCGGGGACAGCCACACCCGGGGACACCCACACCCAGGGACACCCCACACTCCTGGGGGCAGCCCACACACCCAGGGGCAGCCCGCGTGGGCCCAGTGCTGCAGGCGGCTGAATGTCTGTGGCTCATGTGTAATGTTCCACTGGCCATCGTGCTTCCCATCTGTACACTGTGCGTGAGCCTAGGGAGCCTACCAGTGTCCCTACCATCCATGCTGACCACCAGTGTCCCTACCATCCATGCTGACCACCAGTGTCCCTACCATCCATGCTGACCACCAGTGTCCCTACCGTCCATGCTGACCACCAGTGTCCCTACCGTCCATGCTGACCACCACTGGCCCTGCATCTGGGCTCACGGGGTCAAGGTGCGCAAGATCGGGGTGTGTGGGGTCCGGGTGTGTGGGGTCCGGGTGTGTGGGGTCCAGGCACACGGGGTCAGGGCACGTGGGGTCCGGGCTTATGGGGTCCTGGCACGCAGGGTTAGGGCGCACGGGGTCAGGGCGCGCGGGGTCAGGGCGCGCGGGGTGGTCTGGGCACACGGGGTCAGGGCACGTGGGGTCAGGGCTCATGGGGTCAGGGCTCATGGGGTCAGGGCACGCGGGGTCAGGGCACACGGGGTCAGGGCACGCGGGGTCAGGGCGCACGGGGTCAGGGCGCGCG